CCAAACCCTCCTATCTTCCACTGCCTCCCGGAGTTGTGTCAAATTCATTCTAGTAGCTTCAATGACAATGTCCAACCATCTCATCCTCTGTCGTCCCCTTCTCCTCTTGCCTTCACACTTTCCTAACATCAAGGTATTTTCCAGGGAGGCTTCTCTTCTCATCAGATGGCCAAAGTATTGGAGCCTCAGCTTCAGGATCTGTCCTTCCAGTGAACACTCAGGGTTGATTTCCTTTAGAATTGATAGGTTTGATCTCCTGGCAGTCCAGGGGACTCTCAAGAGCCTCCTCCAGCACCACAATTCAAAAGCATCAATTCTTCGGCGGTCAGCTCTCTTTATGGTCCAGCTCTCACTTCGGTATATCACTACAGGGAAAACCATAGCTTTGACTATTCGGACTTTTGTTGATAAGGTGATGTCTCTGCTTTTTAGGATGCTGTCAAGGTTTGTCATCACTTTCCTCCCAAGAAGCAGGTGTCTTTTAATTTCGTGGCTGCTGTCTTCATCTGCAGTGATCATGGAGCCCAAGAAAGTAAAATCTGTCACTGCCTCCATATCTTCCCCTTCTGTTTGCCAGGAGGTGAAGGGACCAGTGGCCATGAGCTTAGTTTTTTTATGTTGAGCTTCAGACCGTCTTTCACCCTCATTACAAGGTTCCTTAATTCCTCCTCACTTTCTGCCATCAGAGTGGTATCATCTGCATATCGAAGGTTGTTGATATTTCTTCTGGCAATCTTAATTCTGTTATGGGATTCCTCCAGTCTGGCCTTTCCCATGATGTATTTTGCATATAAGTTAAATAAGCCGGGGGACAATATACAGCCTTGTCGTATTCCTTTCCCAATTTTGGACCAATCAGTTGTTCCATATCCAGTTCTAACTGTTGCTTCCTGTCCCACGTATAGGTTTCTCAGTAGATAGATAAGGTGGCCAGGCACTCCTATTTCTTTAAGGACTTGTCATAGTTTGCTGTGGTCCACACAGTCAAAAGCTTTAGCATAGTCAATGAAGCAGATGTTTTTCTGGAACTCTCTGGCTTTCTCCATAATCCAGCGCATGTTAGCAATTTGGTCTCGAGTTCCTCTGCCCCTTCAAAATCTAGCATGTACTTGGGAGTTCTCGGTCCACATACTGCTGAAGCCTACCTTGGAGGATGTTGAGCATAACCAGCAAAATTAGGGAGTGATTTAACTGGCCTAGTTATTAGACAATACATTGACCTCTAGCCCAGGGGTCAGGGAACTTTTTTACCTTTTACACTGCCAGAGTGGTGCTAGCAATGACATGCTTTCTAGAGACAGCCAATGCAGAATTGGGGTGTGTGTGTTTCCCTACCACTTTAATCATTCTATGTGTGGTGTGCAAAAAGGAACAAACCAGGCTAAAGGTCATGTCACCCACCCTGGTGCCACAGCCCAATATCAAAGGACCAGTGTGCTTTTTTTATCATCATCAATGGAAAACTCAGCAGTGGTCAGAAGATTGGAAAAGATCAGTCTACATCCCAATCCCAAAGAAGGGCAGTGCCAAAGAAT